CCACTGATAACCTATTTTTCTTCTGCAATAGTGAGTTCAGTGGAGAGTTTCACTCTATTCTTCACTGAAAAGATCAGATTCAAACTATTATTCTGAGTTGGTTTAAAAGGGAAGATGTTTATGGAGATTGGTACAGACTATGGCTCCTCAAGTTTTTAGGATAGACAGAACATGGAAGACTGGCTAGGAAGCAATGTCACAACAACGAGTGTACAATCATGTTTTCAAACTTTTTACCAACAGTAGGAATTATGTAACTTTACAATCTGCAGATCTGATACATAAAATAATTAATATTGTAGGGAGATCTGGGGGAGATAAGAGATCAACCGAAGGACTTGTATACATGCATATAAGTACAACCAATGGACACAAAACTCTAGGAAGAGAGGGTATGTTTGGGAGGGGGGGCAATGTTAAAATATATACACAGAAAATAATTTAATAAAAAAAATTAATTTTTGGTAAGATAAAATGAGATTTTGTGTAAAAATTAAAAAGTATTTGGCATTGAGTGGAAATCAGAAGCATGATAGAGTAAACCTTCAACTTCCAGAAAGGTAATTTTTTATTTTTTTAGTTAAAAAAATTTATTGTTTAAGGTATTACAAATAGTAGTACATGTCTCTCTTTTTTCCCCCCAATGACCTCCCTCCTAGCTTCCCTTACCCCCACACTTGCCTTCATCCTCCCGCCCCCAGTGTTTTGCGTCTGTTGGTTGTGCTTATATGCATGCATACAAGTCCTTCGGTTGATCTCTTACCCTCACAACCCTCTCCTACCTTCCTGCTGTAGTTTGACAGTCTGTTCGATGATTCTTTGATTCTATTTTTGTTCAACAGTTTGTAATGTTCTTTATTATCCATAAATGAGTGAGATTATGTGGTATTTACCTTTCACTGACTGGCTTATTTCACTTAGCACAATGTTCTCCAGATCCATCAATGCTGTTGTAAATGGTAAGAATTTCTTCTTTTTTACAGCAGCGTAGCATTCCATTGTATATATGTACCACAATTTTCTAATCCACTCATCTGCTGATGGGCATTTAGGCAGTTTCCAAACCTTAGCTTTTGTAAATCACGCTTCTATGAACATAGGTATGCATATATCATTTCTGATTGGTGTTTCTGTTTTCTTTGGGTATATTCCTAGAAGTGGGATCACTGGGTCAAATGGCAGTTCCATTTTTAATTTTTTGAGGAAACACCATACTGCTTTTCACAGTGGCTGCACCAGTCTGCATTCCCACCAGCAGTGAAGAAGGATTCGTTTTTCTCCACATTCTCTCTAGCACTCGTCATTTGTTGATTTGTTGATGATAGCCATTCTGTCAGTTATGAGATGGTACCTCATTGTTTTGATTTGCATCTCTTGGATGATTAGTGACTTTGAGCACGTTTTCATATGTCTCTTGGATTTCTGAATGTCCTCTTTTGAAAAGTATCTATTTAGGTCCATTGTCCAGTTTTTGATTGGGTTGTTTATCTTTCTTTTGTTAAATTGTATGAATTCAATGTAAATATTGGAGATTAAACCCTTATCAGTGATAATATTGGCAAATATATTCTCCCTTGGGCTTTCTTGTTATTTTGTTGATGGTTTCTTTTGCTGTGCAGAACCTTTTTATTTTGATGTAGTCCAGTTTGTTTATTTTCTATTTAGTTTTAGTTTCCATTGCCCTAGGAGCTGTATCAGTAAAGATATTGCTATGACAAATGTCTGCTATTTTGTTGCATATAGCTTATAAGATTTTTATGGTTTCTCATCTTACGTTTAAGTCCTTTATCCATTTTGAATTTATTTTTGTGTTCAGTTCATTTTTTTGCAAATATCTTTTCAGTTTCCAGGAAGGTAATTTAGAATGTAATCATTTGGACAAATTGCATCAGTGGGGAGGTTGCTGATAAAAATCCCTGTGAAAAAACCCCAATTGATTCCAAGCTGCATTGCTTTTTATTAATGTGAATATTGTTTATACCATTATCAAGATAAAATCTAAAAATGCCATTATAAAGATATATTTAAAAGATATTACAGTGACAGGGAATTAAATAGTGGCCTTTGCTAGACCATTAATGATGGTGATTATTATTATCATTATTACTTTGGTTTTAGCTTGGTTGCCACAATATATAAAAATTTATCTTCATTTGGTACTATATGTAAAAGTAAATGTTTCAAAGAAGGAGTTCTGCACAGAGGGCTGTTGAAGAATAGGAGGAATGAGAGATGTAATGAAGGCAAGGGCATTGACGGCCAAACAAAGGATGTAGAGGGAAGCCATGAGCCACACTATTTGAAAGTGTATATGAAGGAAGAGTAAATACCATATGAGTGCATGTCCAGGGAAGAGGAAGTAGTTTAGCCTAGAGTGTGAGATATAGGGAGGAGTGGAGTAACAAAATTATTAGTGAATATCTTAGAGGAGTAGCTTTGATTTGTGTTATAATTTGGGAGATATTTTATGATTACGTTTTTGGGAGCTTTGAATCTCTAAAGATACCAATTGTGTGATTTTCCACATCCACACACATTGATCTATGCTCTAAGTAAAATTGATATATATTCTCTGCAAAAATGTAAGATAGTAGGTTAGAGCATAAAGTGAAAAGTAATAGATTATTTTTCCTGCACAACTTTCTCAATCCCAGTCCTTACAAATAATTATAGTTAATGTGTGTTTTCTTTTGCTGTGTCAACCTAGGCATTTTCTATCCATTCATTGTTTTATTTATGTAATATTATATTTGTAATTTATTTATATAGTTTAAAAAGCCAGGAGGAATGAGTATGACACTCCCCCCTTTCCTTCTCCCTATCCTGTATATGTAGAATTAGGTCTATTTCAGCACTATAAATGCTCAGTATTCCAGGGAAGGTCTCTAAGAGAAATGATTGAACTACTCCTCTATTTCTACACTTTTAAGTTATTTTCAGCTTTTTGCTCTTATCAGCAACAATGCTTCAGCAAACGTCTCCATATCTTTTATTTGTCCACATTTTTCCTGTGCTCACATACTGCATATATGCAGAAATTTCCCCCTAAAAGTAGATAGCAGAGTCAATGCAGAAGAGTATATACAATTTTGGAAAGGTATTGTCAAATTGGTAAATGTTTTATTTTATTTTTAAATATAAAAATAATCAAGTAAATTTTATAGCATGTAAGAAAGTGGTAGTTACTGTAGAAAAGAATAAATAAAGTAGAGCAATATAATCAGGAATTGGACAGATGGGGAGCTAAGACTCCTTGTGAATGTAAGATTGAGGAGAAGACTTGAAGGGAGAGTGTTAGTCATGTGGATATAGGAATTTGAAGCATTTCAGACAGAGGAAACAGCCAAAACAGAGGTTTTAGGCAGTAGCATGCATGCATGGTATATTTGAAGAAAAGCATGAAAATCTATGTGGCTGGGAGAAAAGAATGAGAAAAAAGTAGAAATAGAGGAAAATTCAGAGAAAAATGGAAGGCCCAATCAAACAGAGGCTCTACTTAGGCTATGGGAAAAGAGAATTCAGTGATGGCTCCATACAGAAGTTTGGTACCACTTGTAAATAGATTCTGTGATATGAAAGAGGAAAAGTCACCAAGAAGTGTCCTCAAAGGACAGTGGGGAAGAAAAACTTTCCCCACTGCTTTTTAGTGGCTGAACATCTGTGATACATATTGCTGTCCCTTTTCTTAGAAGAGGAGACTAAGGTAAAAATCCAAAGTTATGAATAGGCTGTAGATAATTGTTACTGACTCACAAAGAAGGCCAGAGGAAATATTGAGGGGATCAAGGAATTCTATGGAATACTTTCTTCTTCTTTTAAAAAAAAAATCTTCATTCTTGAAACTATTACATATGTCCCCCCTATTTTCCCCATTGACCCCTTCTATCCTGCCCCACAATTGGATGATAAGATCAATCATTTGGGAAACAAGGTTGAAAGCTTATCAGGTAACTTGGTATGAGAGACCTGCTGAACAACAGTTCTCTATTCTACAAAACAATGAGAAGCATCACAAAATTGTGATGGCATGTACCAAAGCTGTCTTTTGAAGTTAAGCAAACCTGGTGGTGTACTGCCATGTGGAACCTTGGACAAATTACTTAGTTCCCCTATGCTGCAATTTCTCTTTTCATAAATCAGGGATAATTAAAGTACCTTCTTGAGAAAGTTGATGGGAGTATTTTTTAAAAAATTTTTTTATTGAATTTATCAGTGTGACGCTGGTTAACAAAATTTTACAGAGTTCATTTTTACAACACATCATCTGCACACTTTATTGTGTGTTCACCACCCCAAGTCAAGTTGCTGCCCACCACCATTTATCCCTTTTGAACCCTTCTCCACCTCCCCCTTCCCTTCTTCCCCTCTGCCAATCATCATATTGTTGTCCATATCCATGAGTGATAACTGTTTTATCAGTTTACTTTCCCATCACTGGTTATGAAGAGTACCTGTTTCCACATTCTTCCTCAAACCCTGAATTTTTTCAAAGGTTTAAATCTCCACCAAATGATAAGAAAAAACTAGTGTCTTGCTATATGGGTATGCATTTATTTAATTCAGAAGAAGGTAGAGTATTTTATAAACAGGTAAAAAGAACCATGTGTAAAACCACTGATATTTTCACTCTTACTCTTTTCTTCTACTTGGGATTTATGGACTCATCATTGTCATTCTTGTCCCACATCTTTTACTCTCTTTATCTAGGCATAATCTCCTCCACAGAACCCATAATTCTGTCACTTTCTCTTGCACTTATCCTCCCTCTCTAAAATGGTGAGTGCCATGCTCTGGCATCCTTTACTTCCTTCTTTCCTTCTTTCTCTAAATAACTCACCTTGTCTTCCTAATTTTCAGATATCAGAAAATTACAACTTAGGTCTTAAAAATTGTTTATATGTATTTTGAAAGAACTTGACAATGCGATTATAGATATGGTATCAATATACCGAGAGATGTCCAAATTATGAAACTCACTGTCACTTAACTATTTCATATAGTTACATAATTTATAAAAAGTCTTTAATTTATGGTCATATGTGATATATAAATATGAAATAATGACATTTAGAAATACACCAGAACTACCCATTTAAATAAGTAAAAAGATTCTTACTCTGTGCAATCTATTTTGGCAATGAAATATACAACAAAGGAATATGGGTTGTGTTGTGACATCAGCCTTTGTCTAGTTTTCTGTTAACTACTAATTGCCCAAGATTAAGTAAGGTCAGTGCCATTTTCCCTAAACAAGTGTCTCCTTATTCTCCTTTTTCAGGTTTCATGAGAGTTGTCACTGCTGAGAGAGAGAGGCAATGGACAAAGCCAACGACTCTGTGGTGTCTGAGTTTGTGTTCCTGGGACTCTCCAGTTCGTGGGAGATCCAGCTTTTCCTCTTCCTCTTTTCCATTGTGTTCTATGTGGCAAGCCTGATGGGAAACCTCCTCATTGTGCTGACTGTGATCTCTGACCCTCATCTACGGTCCCCCATGTACTTCCTGCTGGCCAACCTTTCCATCATTGACTTGATGTTTTGTTCATCCACAGCTCCTAAAATGATTTATGATCTTTTAAGAAAGCACAAAACCATCTCTTTTGTGGGCTGTGTAGTTCAGATCTTCTTTATCCATGCAGTTGGGGGTACAGAGATGGTGCTGCTCATTGCCATGGCCTTTGATAGATACGTTGCCATATGTAAGCCCCTCCACTACCTGACCATCATGAGCCCACAAAGGTGCATTTTGCTTCTAGTCACTTCCTGGATTATTGGCCTTATTCATTCAGTGACTCAATTGGCTTTTGTTGTAAACCTGCCTTTCTGTGGCCCTAATGAATTAGACAGCTTTTTTTGTGATCTTCCTCGATTTATCAAACTTGCTTGCATAGAGACTTACACATTGGAATTCATGGTTACTGCCAACAGTGGCTTTATTTCAGTGGTTTCCTTTTTAATTTTGATCATCTCTTACATCTTTATTTTGGTGACTGTTCAGAAAAAATCTTCAGGTAGCAGTATATCCAAGGCCCTCTCCACTCTGTCAGCTCATGTCACTGTGGTTGTTTTGTTCTTTGGGCCATTAATCTTCTTCTACACATGGCCATTTCCCACATCACAGCTGGATAAGTTCCTGGCCATCTTTGATGCAGTTATCACTCCTTTTCTAAATCCAGTCATCTATACTTTTAGGAATAAAGAGATGAAGGTGGCAATGAGGAGACTATGCACTCAATTATGAATTAAAGTTTCATAAATATACTGAGGATGTATAAAAAAGCAAAGTATATTAGAAATTCATATGGATATGAACTAAAGTACGTTACATTTAAACAGAATGTCACTATGTACTAGTATGTGCTGTGTCCTGTATTCTTTAAAATATATTTTATTTATTTTTTACAGAGAGGAAGAAAGAGGGATAGAAAGTTAGAAACATTGATCAGCTGCCTCCTGCACACTCCCCACTGGGGATGTGGCCACAGCCAAAGGTACATGTCCTTGACTGGATCAAACCTGGGACCTTTCAGTCCACAGGCAGACGCTCTATCCACTGAGCCAAACCGGTTTCAGCGTCCTGTATTTTTTTGTTTTGTTTTTTTGTTCCTCAAATTGAATTGTGGTGTTAATCTCTGGGCTCTGTTCATGTAAGAGACCTAAGACTACAGGTTGTGGTTCTCTTACCAATTGTCTGACCTCTCTTTATTGGCAATAGAATAAATATAAATGTTAAACAATCCTTTTTGAAAGTCAACATATGGCTTATTGTCCATGTTCTATTTTCCCCTTTTAAGTGATCTATCTTACTTTTAAAATAAGTGTTAATATTTTTTATGTCATTGGATTTATCTTACTATACCGATTATTTATTTTCTATATTTCCAGTTCATTATTCTTTGGTATTCCTCGGTTTTATTGCTAAGCTGGCTTTTTCAGGGTCCAGTGAGGAGACAGAAACTATAGTAGTTTTTTGAACATGGAAAGTTTGATACAAAGAGTTGTTAATTAAGTATATATAAAGTTGTTAAATTTAAAGGTATTTATAAAGAATGAAATCTAAAATATCACAGACATAGCATTTGTAGGGAGCAGTTTTTACTCTAGAGCAGAGTTTAGAATTATTAAAACTTACAAACAAAAACCTATCAAAAGCTTGGGGGAAGGACCCGAGGAGCTGAAGCTCAAATACCTGAGGAGTGGATGCTACTTGGCTGGTGCTAGTGCATCTGAGCTTAGAGGAGGGCTTATGGGGCAGGGGCACTACCCTTGAAAAAGGGGTGCCACTGGCTAACACAGGTGTTCCCGAGGAGGGTGTGATAAGTCAAGTTTTTCTAATGTTGGAAAATAGCTGCTGCCTTGGAAAGAAACCAAGTTTGCTGAGGTGACAAGTGTGGATGATTGATGATGCCCACAGGCCCAGTGTGCAGAGGAGGAGGCCAGAGGCAGCGAACAGAAGGGAGCGCTAAGTGCTTCTTCCTCTCCTAACCTTGCAATTTTGCTATTGTGTCCTTTAATGGCAGAGTGGCAAAAAAGGAATTACTTTGCAAAGCACCAGTTCCTGCATCAAAGCTGAAAGATAATAGCTTTTATAGTGCATTCAGTTACCTAGAAAATTATTAAAATTCTATTGGGATCATACATTTTTTGAACTTTAAAATAAATTATAAATAATCTTATAGAGTTTCCCTATTTTATGAAATCTTAGGTACTGGAAAAATTAACCAATTAGCTGAAGATAATAAAAGGAATATATAGAAGATTCATATATAGAATCTAGGATGACAGACTCCTGTTTTGTTTTTTCTGTCCCCTGTAATTTTATTTAATTTATTAATTTAAATTATTTATTGTTTAAAGTATTACATATGTCTCCTTTTCCCCCACTGACCTCTCCACAGTCACCCTTACCCTTCAGCACATGCCTTCATCATCCTACACTCAGTGTCCATTGGTTATGCTCAAATTCATGAATACAAGTTCATTGATTGATCACTTATCCCCTCATCCCCTGCCTTCCCTCATAGGTTGGGCAGTCTGTTCAATGCTTCTATGACTCTGGTTCTATTTTTGTTCATCAGTTTATGTTGTTCATTATATTTTACAAATGAGTGAGATCATGTGATATCTATCTTTCTCTGACTGGCTTCTTTCTTTCTTTTTTTAAAAATATATTTTTATTGATTTTTTACAGAGAGGAAGAGAGAGGGATAGAGAGTTAGAAATATCAATGAGAGAGAATTATCAACTAGCTGCCTCTTGCATACCCCCCACCGGGGATGTGCCCGCAACCAAGGTACATGCCCTTGATGGAAATCGAACCTGGGACCCTTCAGACCGCAGGCCGACGCTCTATCCACTGAGCCAAACTGGTTTCGGCTGGGTCTGTTTTTGTTCATCAGTTTATGTTGTTCATTATTTCCTCTGGATATGTAAGATCATGTGATCCAAGAAATACCCTTGTAAGAACCGAAACTGAGACAAGCCATAATGGTTATGCTGAGAGTCAAATGAATCAGTCTCTAGTGAGTTCCTTTCTGGGCCAACAGTTATTTTGAGTCCCAATTTTAATCTCAAATAGTTTTTTATGTGTACATGTCAGCCATTATATTTCAGATTTGATTGGTGGACAAATGGTGGTGATGCAGGTCTGACTGTCTCTGGTTTGGTCCTGGGCATCCTTCAGCAACACGCAGCTGCTGTCTGCTGGTATGGTGAGGCGTCGTCAGTGTCTTCCATCTCTGAACTGTTTCTCTCTGTCTTCATGGCTGGAGCGCTTCTGTCTATTCCTCTGAAGAGTCTGTCTTTACTATTGATACATTGTATGTGCATATCTTCTTTGTCAAATATTAATTGAGCATAATGGCTTGAGTTGATCTCTGGGTTCTCTATTCTGTTCCATTGGTCAATATGTCTGTTCTTGTGCCAGTACCAGGCAGTTTTGAGAACAGTAGCTTAGTAATATAGCTTGATATCTGGTATTGTGATTCCTCCAACTTTTTTCTTTCTCAAGATTGCTGTAGCTATTCAGGGTCTTTTTTTTTTTTTTAATTACAGATGAATTTTTGGAGAGTTTGTTCCAGGTCTTTGAAATATGCCGCTGGTATTTTAATGGGATTGCATTGAATCTATAGTTTGCTTTGGATAGTTGGACATTTTGATCATGTTGATTCTACCAATCCATGAACACGGTATATTCTTCCATTTATTTATATCTTTCCCTTTCTCTTTTTTTCAGTGCCCTATAATTTTCTAAGTACAAGTTCTTTACCTCCTTGGTTAAGGTTATTCCTAGGTATCTTAATCTTTTTGGTGCAAAGGTAAATGGAAATTTTTTTTTTTTTTTTTTTTTTTTTTTTTTTTTTTTTTTAGTTTCTCTTTCTGTGAGTTCATTATTGGCGTATAAAAAAGCCATAGGTTTCTGTGTGTTAATTTTATATCCTGCTTCATTGCTGAATTCATTTATTAAGTCTAGTAATTTTTTGATGGAGTCTTTAGGGTTTTCTATTTACAATATTATGTCATCTGTGAATAATGACTATTTTACTTCTTATTTTCCAATTTGGATGCCTTTTATTTCTTCTTGTCTGATAGCAATGGCTAGTACTTCCAGTACTATGTTGAACAGGAATGGTGAGAGTGGGCATCCCTGTCTCAATCCTATTCTTAGAGGAAATGGTTTTAGTGCTTGCCCATTGAGTATGATGTTGGCTGTGGGTTTGTCATATTAGGTTTTTATTATGCTGAGGTATGATTCTTCTATTCTTACCTTGCTGAGAGTTTTTATCAAGAAAGGGTATTGGATTTTGTCAAATGCTTTTTCTGCATCAATAGATATGACTATGTGATTTTTATCTCTCAGTTTGTTTATGTGATGTATCACGTTTATTGATTTGCGAATATTGTACCATCCTCGCATCCTACTTGGTCATGGTGTATGATCTTTCTGATGTACTACTGGATCCAATTTGCTAGAATTTTGCTGAGAATCTATGTTCATGAGGGATATTGGCCTGTAATTCTCTTTCATTATGTTATCTTTATCTGGTTTTGGTATTAGGGTGATGCTGGCTTCATAGAAGGAGCTTGGTAGTGTTCCTTCCTCTTGAATTTTTTGGAATAGTCTGAGGAGGATAGGTTTTAGTTCTTCCTTGAATGTTTGGTAAAATTCCCCTGTGAAGCCATCTGGCCCTGGGCTTTTGTTTGCTGGAAGCTTTTTGATGACTGCTTCAATTTTCATCCCTAGTTATCTGCCTATTGAGATTTTTAGTATCTTCTTGATTAAGTTTTGGAAGGTTGTATTTTTCTAGGAAAGTGTCCATTTCCTCCAGGTTGTCTAGTTTATTAGAATAGAGTTGTTCGTAGTATTTTTTAATAACGCTTTGTATTTCTGTGGGGTCTGTTGTTATTTCACCTCTTTCATTTCTGATTTTGTTTATTTGGGTCCTCTCTCTTTGCTTTTTGGTGAGCCTGGCTAGAGGTTCATCAATCTTGTTTATCCTTTCAAAGGACCAGCTCTTGGTTTTATTGATCTTTTGTATTGTTTCTTTGGTCTCTATGTCATTCATTTCTGCTCTGATCTTTATTATTTCCTTCCTTCTGCTCTCTGTGGGCTTTTCTTGTTGCTCTCTTTCTAATTCTTTGAGTTGTTGAGTTAGATTATTTATTAACCCCTTTTGTTGTTTTTTGAGATATGCCTGTAGAGCTATAAATTTTCCTCTCAGGACTGCTTTCATTGTGTATTTGTATTCTTGTGTTTTTATTGTCATTAGTCTCCAGGAATTTTTAAATTTCTTCTTTGATTCCATTGTTTACCCAATCATTGTTTAATAGCATGCTATTCAGCTTCCAAGTGTTTAAATTTTTTGAAGTATTTTTATTACAGTTTATTTCTAATATTATGCCATTGTGGTCTGAGAAAATGCTTGATATGATTTCAATCTTTTTGAATTTGGGGAGACTTTGTTTGTAACCCAAAATGTGGTCTGTTTTTGAAAATGTCCCATGTGCACTTGAGAATAAAGTATATTTTGTGGCTTTGGGGTGAAATGCTCTGAAGATGTCAATTAAGTCCATCTGATCTAGTGAGTCATTTATTTATTTATTTATATATTTATAATATATTTTATTGATTTTTTACAGAGAAGTAGGGAGAGAGATGGAGAGATAGAAACATCAATGAGAGAGAGACATCAACCAGCTGCATCCTGCACACCCCCCACCAGGGATGTGCCCGCAACCAAGGAACATGCCCTTGACTGAAATCAAACCTGGGACCTTTCAGTCTGCAGGCTGACACTCTATCCACTGAGCCAAACTGGTTTCGGCTAGTGAGTCATTTAGAATTTCAGTTT